ATTCAGACATTTCATGCATTTTGTTATTCTTTTAGTTTTTTGTTGACTGATTATCTTTAGACACAAACTAAAAAAATAACAAAAAACATGAAATATTTTAGAATGATGAAAATTTTACAATTTTGAATGGATGATTATTATAAAGTTATATTATGCTCAATATTTCATAGATAAGTATTTAAAAAATGTAAAACAATTATTTCCAGCCAGAAGACACCACATTTTCCATATATAAATTTTGAACAGATTATTGTTAAAATGTTATATATACACTGTAGTTATTGTATTCTTATTATGCTCATTTTTATCACTAAATATAAATGCATATTAAAGAGGTGTTTAAATTTAAAAAATTAAAAACTAGATCACATTTTCCATATAAATGTTAGTAGTCCAAATAAAAGAGTCCACAAAATATCTTCAAATATTCATTAAACAATTTTTATTACTATGTTTGTGTATATATATAGTCACAGGACGACCAAACGACAGACACAGTGGGGGTGGCGTCAGGCCTCGGAGAGGCTTTTATTAAGTGTCCAGGAAAAAGGGGAATCAAGTGTCCAAAATAAAACAGGGGATCTGGCGTCCTCGTCGTGCTGCGGGGTTCGTGTAGGGAAAGGCAGTGGTCAGGAAGGAAGGGTCCAGGTTAGGGGCGGAGTCCGGCGGCCGCACGCGCTCCCCTCTCCAGTCCGGGGCGCGAGGGGTGGCGGCTTCTTCCAGCGGCTGCATCCTTCTCGCCTTGGCCCACGGCGCTTGAAGGGACTAGACGGCCCGGCCTCCTTCTCGTCCGGACCGCGGGTCCGGTAGCTCACGACTCTGGCGGCACGGGAGATATATAGTATATTAAAATTAATACCATATTCATGTATATCTTTTACTATAGAAATTGTTCACAAAATGTCCTCAAATGAATTCATTATTCATTATTCATTAAACATTGTAGTTTGAGTTTCCTTTTGAGAGCATTAATGAGACCTAAATGAGCCAGTGGGAAAATATGGGCTGTAGGTGTTAAAATACTAAATACTAAAATTCAGATTAATAACAGAAAAACAGCAATAATTGCTATTTTGAACAAAAATAAAATACATGCATCTACTAGCATCCATTCTAGCATCTTTATCCCAGAGACTCTTCTCAAGAGTAATGTGTGTGAAGACCAAGAAGATGAACTCGGCTCAGTGAGACGGACAGTTACACATTTATATATTTCCATCCCATCTCAATGGCAAGGTAATTAATCTGAGATTGCGCTTCACTCCAAAAGACATGTAGTACAATGATCAGCTCGTATTGATTGACCCCTAGAGGACGATGGAGAGTTGATTGGCATCCGTCGCCATCAGAAAACATGTTCTGAACAGCCATGTGGGGAAATTGCTTGTTCCTCTTCATCCTTTCAATGGGATCAAGGTCCACTAACCCCATGTCTGTTTAGGAAAATTAATCTGTTGAATGTAAGAAAAGGCTATTAATGCAATGGGCTTTGGTTTAGAATGGGGCCACATTTATTGATCAGAGGTCAAATTCTTCTTCTAGAATAATGTCAAGTGCCATCGGTCTGCTTTATACACGCATAGATGAAATTGTGGTATGTCTAAATAGACTGATAACCAAAAGCAATATGATACAATATTGAGGGAACAATCACAATTCATCACGCCTTTGGCAATCAATAGGAGTTGATAATGAAAATTTTTCTTGAATATTGCTATGTTTTTAGGTAATGCAAACATCAGACTGGCTTGTATGAATCACCTGAATTGAAATTGTTACAAAAGCAAAAAGATGTATCCCTCCAAATGTCATTATGTGATTAATCACATGTTCTCACAGCTTCTGATTTCCATGCAAAGGCAAACTTGTCGACCTACTAATTTATATATATATATATATATATATATATATATATATCCATGACATGCTTTCAGATGGAGCAGCATTTAATACACAGAGCCATAGATCACTGACAACTACGCAATATTGTGCAAGCTGCGTAGGGCCCTGAAACACCAGGGGGCCCCCTTGCTCTCAAAGATGATTTAATTTGGCCAGCGGTTATGAAAACATGAATGATCATTTCTTTTAATGCGGTGCGCTGTTGCCCTTTCTTCGTAAAAATCAGACAAATTATGTAATGTGAATGTCGTACAGTCTTGCTCGAGACAAAAAATAAGTTGAAAGCGTACCAAGCCAAGAGACAAGCGCTTTCCGCGAGCACGATTCAACATGGAGTGAAACACGGACAAATGCGTTTCATTCATTCGTTCATAAACACTCATACCCACTCCACGGCTTGATTGATTTTCATTCATAGTATTCATAGAATTCAGCTAACTATGAAATATTTTGCAATAAGATGATATCTAAGATTTTTTATTTATTTATGTATTTATTTATTTTTTACCTTATTGGAATCGAAATTAGGAATTGACAAGAATTGGAATCATTAAAATTCAAACGATGCCCAACCTTACCCATACGCCACATTATTTTTTACTGGCACCTTTCTAATCACACTGTTTTAAACCCTTTCTTTTCTTTTAAACCTTCACTTACCCTTCTTTGCTTTTGCCCTTCTTAAAAACAACCACATAATCTTATACGTGAATGTACTTTTCAAAATTATTTATAAAACAGTTGCTCCTGGCAACAGGGATAGGTAGTATGTTTGCTTAACATAGCGTCACAAATGACAATTTATGAGACTAATATCATGTTTTGCTTCAAAATCACTATATAGCATCAGTCGTGTTTGAAACAGTTAGCTTCTGTGGTTCCATGGTGCTTCTTATCACAGTGAGGCAGAAAATATTTTTTCTAATAATCTTTACTGTGATACAAGCTATGTCAATTAGCGTTGCATTGCAATTTTGTGCTTATTGTCTTCCACGTTTCATCAGTCAAAGCGTCTCTATCTGCATGTTATTCAGCTGTAGTGATATCTGATGCATTTGTCCATATAAAGGATTTCCTGGGTCTCACTTGTGAAACAAACATTAAAGTACATGAGTGTTAGGATTATGGTTAACCCGACTCCATAATGCTCACATCATCTTATTTTGGGTAAAAATAGAAAAATAATACTAAAGTACTTTGTAACGCAGTAACTTACTCATACCTTTACTCTTACTTGAGTCATATTATTTTTAGTACTTATACTTGTACTTATACTTGTAATTTATTCCTTAAGTAGCAATACTTTTACTTAAGTACAATTTCTTAGTACTCTTTCCACCACTACACCTAGGATGGCTTGAGAGTGAGTAAATCATGGGGTACTTTTCATTTTTGGGTGAACAATCCCTTTATGAGCTCATTATGTCATTAAAATAAAGAGTTAAAGACACTTCTGTTTTAATGCACAAAGATAATTCAGTTTTAATGCACAATCAGCAGATTCCCTCAGAAATGACTAAATAAATCAAACATGAAAGTAAACCAGAAAAACAAAAAAGTATGAGAACAGTGAATATAAGTAAACGCAAACATTCACGTGTCCTTCACCTTATATTTATGCAGATGAAGTTGAGTTTGTGAGTTTCAGGAAGGCTGATCCAGCGCTGATCTCCTCCAGACTGAACTGCTCCTTTTCTCTTCTCGAGTTTACAGTTTTCCGGTTTCGTTCCGTTCCCTGGAGCCCAGTTCTGATAGCACACAGTCTCTCCACTCACCCAGAGCCACATGTTCATGATGCAGTAGTTGTGTAAACCCAACCACACCGCCGCAGTAGACGCCCGTTTAACCACGTTCATCACACGACGCTGAATCTCTTCTGAATGAACCGAGACCAGATCCACATGATTCTGTCTGCAGTATCTCAGAGCTTCAGACCACGTCAGATTCTCTCTATGTTTATGTTCAGTTATTTCACTTTAATAGCAACGAAAAGAACTATTCATTGCCATTACAGTTAAACTACTGAACCTACACATGAGAGCCTGATGGAAAAAAACTAATTTTAGAATAAAATTTCAGACGGCATTTAGAGGCTTTTGCATCTGAACTCTTCATAAATATATATATAATCAATGTAAATTAAATAATAAATACATTCATATATAGTAATGTATAATTGATATAATATATATATATTTCTTTTGATATATTCCATATATCAATCATACAAATCCATATTTATGTATTTTAAATATTAAATATAATATTAGAGAATTAATTATATTATATTTAGAATTATTCAATTAATTATTTAATTATTTAATTTAGTTATACTGATATATAAAATTAGTTAATATATAAAATACACAAATATATAGTAATAAGATTTAATATTATTATTAATATATAAATTAATAGTTCTTAAAATCAAATATATAATATTTATAAAAGAAAAATTTAATTAGATTAATATATAAAACATATAGTATTTATTTATGTCATTATTCATTTATTCATTTAAAGCACTTTTTAAATACAGTGGTGATACTTGAGCCACAGCTTCAATCTCCAATTAAAATCAATCAAATTTAATAATTTAAAAGTAACCATGACAGGAAACATCCAGAAATGTTATTCCTGTGACGGTAAAGAGGAGCAGAGCGCTGAGCTTTGACTTCCCTATTAAGAAAGAGAGACATATTTAATGAGTGGGAAAGCCTGCTTAAGCATTAGAAATTCAATCCTGCCCATTACTGGCGTAATGAAGCCGAGCTAATGGAGCAGGACTCCAGGTACCCTCATCTAAATGAAGAGGTGGAACTAGCAGGTTTTTCCCTTTCTGAAGTGTCTCTAATGCTTACATCTAATAGCCATTACCTCTGCTTTAAGGGGACCGAATGTGATTATGACCGTTGGAAAATAGGAAATAATTTGTCAAAGGGCTTGTACGGACAATCTGAGGACAGAATTTCAAGAGTTGGTACAAAACATAAATAGGAATCATGCTAAACACAGTTAACATTGTATTTATTATGATATTTATAATGTCTGGAAAGTTTATGGAAGAGTCTATGGAAATTCATGGTTAAGGTTTGAGAATCCTATATGGGCCATTCTACAGAATTGGTCCAAACTGCTGTCCCACAACCAAAAAACACATTTAATACACATTTAAGTATTCAAATCTTGAATGTTTACTAAGAACCTTCTATTATCTATTGAAACCCACAATAATATTTAAAGTATTAGTAAGCTTAATATATGTATAAAAGCATCATTTATTGGGTACTTTCAATTGGGAGGTGGCTGTCCTGAACCCTAACCCCTAAATTTCAACTTATGAAAATGATATTGAAATATTTTTTGTATTTTTTTCCATTGTTGTTTTTAAAAGTATCTTGTTGATTCTTTTAAAAAGTGAAGTTCAAAAAAAAAAAGTATATTTTCTTTGTAAATTATAAAACTTTATGTAAAAAAAAATGTGTCCCGCATTTTCATGTCACTACCGAAACAGTGTATGTTTTAGTCTAATGGCCGAAACTACATCCCTAAACTTATGATCAGGAAATATTTACGTGTCACTCTCTCTCATAGCTACATGGTGAGTAGATAGGTCCCATAATTTTGAGGTAAATGTGTTCAAAAGTCTGAAAAATCTGTGTGTAACTTTAAGGAACGTCACTACCGAACACCTTTTTTCTGCAATTAAGCACACATTTTTGGGAGTTATTCCATAACATTTAGTTTTTATATGTATACCACTGTTCAGAACTGTGCTAGCTAACCATGCGCTGATTAGCATCCTTGAGCTAGGTTCAAGAGTATCTAAAATTGTCACTACCGACACATTTGGTGGAGTTTCGGTAGTGACATCTTTGGGGTTTTTTTGGGTGTTATCCCATAGAATTGTCACTACCGAAACAGTCACGAACGAAACATGTTATCACTGTTTCGGTAGTGACAAAAGGGAACTCATAATCCTCATATTTGGGGGAAATAAACACAATTTGAGTACACATTGTATTTTAGTACGTTTTAGTAGTGTTATAGTATGCAAGTTAGAATTCGGTAATGAGATGTGGTTGTTACCAAAGCATTACTGTCACTACCGAAAATGTGCTGTCACTACCGAAACATAGGATGTTTTGTCAAAAACAAAGTATACTGAATGATCAACTAAGATGTTTTGATAGTTTTTGGTTCAATGTATATTCAAACTAATGAATCCTTAACTTTGAAACCAGTATTATGAACTTTTTGCCTTTTACAAAGAAAAATTGGATTCAAAATACAACAAATCTCACACATTAAATTACACTTTAAATATTGTTAAAAACGTAATTGTTATTGATTTACCTCTGAAAAAAATTTAATAAAATAGCAAAAATATATATATATTTACAATGTAGATTTAAGCAAAATCTTAAAAGGTCAATATAACCCTTCTAATTAAATTATTATTACTGTGTTTCGGTAGTGACAAATTTGGGGAGAGGACAAATATTCCAAAACGTTCTGAAAATATAATATGAGAAGTAACTGCACAATTACTAAATGTGTACCTTGGATATTATACAATTTCCATACATACTAATTTTTTGGAAAAATACTTTTTTTTCCCAAGACGTTTCCAACTCTGACTTTGCACCAATCCTGTAGAATGGCCCATATAATAAAACAGGAAAGAATAAAAATGTTTAGTTTAGAGTGTGTTTAAAAGCTAAAGCTCTTTTTTTTCTCCATAGGCCGTCCTTCAATTATATAACAGTGTCCTTTAGATCCCTTTGGGATTCTGTAACAACAACAGCAGAAGAATCGTCTCATAAACAAGTTTTTATCTGTCAGACAAGATGGCACAGTCCTTCTCTCTGAACTCACAACAGTCCTCTGAAGCCTCTTCCTGGCAAACAGGGCACGATGCAACACCTTTCCTTTCCATCGTAACATTCGCTCACAATGCAGGGATGGCAGCGCAGGACCCTCAGGATAGGACGTAACCGTTTTCAACACTTCCTCCAGCTTTGGGCCATAGAAGTGGTTTTTGCGTGTTTTTAGAGAGCGGGACGGCGGGGAGGGGTGAGACTGAAAACAAACGGACCCACTCGGACGCTTTGATCTTCGTTTCCTGCCAATTATTTACGGCTGTTTCTCACGAATCTTTTTTTCGCTCTCTTGCGCTTGATTGTGGCTCGCTTCCCTCACTTTTCACCCTCGAACACAATACGATTTCTCTTTAAAAGTTTCTGGCAGGAAGCTATAAAAACACCTCAGTTGCTGCTATTATTTGAATGGAATATAAAGTAGCTCCCAGCGGAATATTGTGCTTTAGATGTTTGATAACCCACTATAAATATGTATCATACATTAATATGTAAACATGTATTATGGTTATTCCTTACATCATGGGATATTTTTGAGTAAACATGAAATAAAACTAAACAACAAAAACAATTAATAATAAAAGAATTTAATATAATTATTATAATAATTAAATAATATAAATAAATAAATAAATAAATAACAATAAAAATACAAGTAGATATAAACATTTAAAAATAAAAAAGAATGAATTATTATAAGTAATAATTAAATAGGTATAAAAATAAAATAAAAATAATTTAGGAATAAATAAATAAATAACAATAATAAAAAGTACAAGTTGATATAAAAATTATAAAATAAAAGGTATTAAAAGAATTAATTATTATAAGTAATAATTAAAATAATTAAAGAAATAATTAAATGATTAAATAACAATACAAATTAAATAAATATAAAAATAAAATAAAAATAATTTAGTAATTTAGAAATAAATAATTAAAATAAATAAACAATAAAAAAATAAATGACAATAATAAAAAATATAAGTAGATAATAATATTAATAAAAATAATAATTGAAAAATATACAAAGTATGTAAAATATTTTTATTATAAATATTAATTAAAATAAATAATACACAAATAACAATAATTAATCATTAATTTTAAGGTGTATTTATGTTTCCTTTATTAAAAATTGTATTTATTTAAAAAAAAATTTAAAATTAAAATTAGTTGTTAATTAATAAACAATTAATAAAAAAAATCATTTAAAAATGATCTTCCAAATCTTACGATGTGTGGGCTATTGTGTAATATTAATTTTAATATTATATAATATAATATACAACATCCAATCAAATCCTGAAGGATGAAATACATTATTTCTCATGGAATATCCTGCTTCACTCTGAATATCGTCACATTACTAAAGTAAAATGGGTTGCAAATAGCAATTCACATTGCTATTTAAACTAAAATTGCAAGGTAAAATTAAATGGCTAAAAAATCCAGTAATCTGCAAAACAACACAACGATTTGACTTTAATAAGCTGTCCGGCATCCTAACTATCATGTCAACATAAAATTCAGTCAAATATATCCTCGCATTAGCATCCAAAATGCATTGTTTATTCAAAAAATTAATTCTAACCTTCATCACCAAGTGTTTTTTGCTGAACTTTGCTGAACAGCCATGGAGGGGTATGAAAAGAATTATAAAGGGGCAGGGCAATCGGTAGCAGGACCTCCAGAGAGGGGCCATTAATCTGAGGCCTCCTGTCGCACCCCGTAGCCTGACCGGCGTGACCACAGGCCCGTTCCCTTGACCCACGCACTGCAGAGATCTGCTGAAGAGGCAGCTGCTAAAATGGCCATTTTGGAGAAAAACAAGAATGATTGTGGCCTGTGTTGCTGGAGCAAAGCAAAAGGATGTCATTTAAGACCCCCACTGCTGAGGGGTAACCCTTAACTTTCCTCTAGTCTCCAAAAGCATGGTTTTTGGGTATTGCTGAGGAGTGAGTATGTGCATCAGAGCATGCTCTTACTTGTGTGTGTGTGTGTGTGTGTGTGTATATTCTTAGGAAACATACATACCGGTTACATATATACCATGAATGCACATCTCTGGTTAAGAGTGTCTACCAAAAGAACAAACATAAATGTAAGTTTCTATATCATGCAATGCATTTTGAAATATTCTGGTATTTATTTTCAAGATAATTGTGGTCAATTACACAATCAAATTTTAATTTCTGTTAATTATTGACAGTATGAATTATTGAAAAGATTTATAAAACGTTTGTCTGAGATGCGTAGATTCACCATGGTCAAAAATTCAATTAAATTATGAAGTGAAATGATTTAATTATGATTATTTATTTCACAGCCCAGTACGTGTACACAATATTAATTTCAATACATTTTCAAATGTATATTACACACACGCACTACTCCTTGGTAACATATATAAGAATTAAATATAATATCTTATACTATGCAATGCATTTTGAAATATTTTGAAGACAAAGAGATCTACTTTCTGAGACATGGCCTTGACTGACTCTGTGAATTGAATCTATGAATATAAATACTATAAATAATACTGTACTATAAATAATAATGCTTAAATTAATAAACACATTAATTAATACACACACATTCATATAAATATGAATTTTTAAATCCAGCAATTAGATGATTAAATTATTGTTTATCAGACATTCAACCAAGAAAAAAAAATTAACTACCAGCTACAAAACTGTATTTTGCGTTATTTAACTAAAAGTATTTAAATGTAGAAATTAAATACATTTAGAAATATATATTTTAAATATCATTTATAAAAAATATATTACAATATAAAACATTTAAATATTTTATATTTAATATTGAAATAATTTTGGTCCAACAAAATGGGATTTGTTCAGCAATTAGATTATTAGATTATTGTTCAGGAGATATTCAACCACACTTTTTGTCACATCTACCAACTACACATCTGGCATTATTTAAAAAAAAAAGTCTAATGTCTAAATGGCTAAATACAATTTGAAATATATACTTTACAACTATTAATAAATAATATAAATGATTTTTTTAAATAAAACATTTCAATATTATTATAATAATATTTATAGTAATATTTAATATAAAAAATATTTTTGTCCAACAAAATGGGATCTGCATTATTGTATTATTTTACATTTTTTAGGATTATGTTAATAAAACATTTATATGCAATATATATATATATATGATTGTTAAATGCAAAAACCTTCATTCTTTAGATTTAGCCTCCCAGTTTCAATCACCTGTCATCCATCAACAGACCAAATCCTCATTCATTCATTTCTTTCCGCTCATATTAGTGTGTTATGCCTATTCCAGCAGAAGATGGCCAGTGTTTGGGGGGGAATGAAAGATGAAAGGCGTGTGGGGGCTTCGGCCGAGACGTGTTGTGTTTGGAGGGAGCAGTTGGGAGTCTGATGACAGAACGGTCTTTGGGAATTTAAGAGTAGCTTGGAGTGCGCTTTTCCCTTTGGATGACGGCTCCAGGAAGAAAGGCTTCTCTTTTCAAAGGCTCTGGCTTTATTTATATTACACATTTTCATCGAAGGGCTCTTTCAGAGGCAGACGGATTTTTTCAGTTGCCCGCGTTTATGTTTTATCACCGACCGTATGTTTGTTTCCGGATGAGCGGCCTTTATTTCTTCACAACTGTCCGACAGGAAACAAATATGCAGCAGAATTGGGTTCTTCTCTCACGTACACTCTTGTGAACAGTAAACACTGATTAGCTCCAGTCACAGCCCATCCGTCATTAGCCATTATTAGCTCAAGACGGCTAAATGATAAATTAACTGTCATTCAAAGCAGCCACATCATTTAGGACTGTTTCATTGCTGACAAACAACAGTGTCATGTGACCGTCGCCCCCAACGGGACAAGAAAAAAATCAAAGCGAGGGGCGTTCACCTGTTACCTGTCAGTTCAATGAAGTGCAGAACGAAAGGCCTGATAAGTTACTGTGCTTCAAATCACTCCTGCCCTCCGCTGTTGTCCTGCTAAGACTGATGAGCAGCAGTGTGTAATTGAACCATGTAGCACGTCAAAACAGGAAATGAGGTCAGAGGAAATTAGTAATATGTGGAAGTCTGGTCGCTACTCTTCATTAGAGAGGCAAGCAGGGTAAAAGAACTACTTTATTTATTTATTTATATATATATATATATATATATATATATACAGTGGGTACGGTAAGTATTCAGACATTTTGGATTATTAAATTATGAGACTTTTAGATTATTCTTCATCAGACACCAGGGAACAAAATTAAATTTTTGTCAAAGCCTGGTGAATTAATAAATACTTTGCATTACTTTAGGAGTATTTTAGGAGTAACTAAAAATTAAATGTTTTTATATGTGAATATTTAGTTATATAAATGTAACATAATGAAATATATAACATTTAAATATTAAATATTTTAAATCTATATTTAATAAAAGAAAAAATCCAACAAAATGGGATTTGTCTGTAATTTTTTTGTGATTTTTGTAATATATATTTATATATCTGTTGAAAGTCATTGTGTAATCATATATATGAGATGAGCTCGTCTCCAAAAATGGAGTGAAAATTTCAGATTAACTTCCACTGAGCCAAAAGTTGTTGTTGCGACAGATATTTTCTGTCGTATGTCACGATTTGATTTGCTCTCATTGCGTACATCAGCAAAGCTCAAGCAACTTGAGCCCTGTATTATACTGCAGTTCCTAATAAACTGAGCTTCATTTACTCACCGAAGACAGTTTTCACTCACATTTGCCACTAGGAGAGCGTTCATTTTAGACCCCAGATGCAAGTAACACTGTATAAAGTGTGAAAAACTTGCATGATTATAGGAATCTTGATCCAGTTGGTGTCCTTCACAACTGCGCAGGTCAAAGGTCAGCCTTTCTTCAGCCAATGAGGAAACCAGAATGAAATAAAAAGTTTGCTGTACATTCAGACTTCAGAGCCTCCGAACAGCCGTTTTCCCCGGCCGTCAATTAATTAATTAGGAAAAGGTGTCATTTGTACGGGACTCTTGAGAAATCAAGGGCAAGAAAACTCT